TTTTAATTTTTTTTTTTTTTGCTTTTGTATATATTTTTCTTATACCCCTTCCGATTGGTTTGTTATTTTTGGTAATAACCACTGTTTCTTACTGTTTTGTTGAACTACGGTTTAGTCACTTGGATTGACTTGTTTTCCTCACCTGGATGAAATTGTTGTGACAGGAGACACAGAATCATGGACAGCCACCACTTCGTCTTCACCGCGCCAGCCATTTTTACCTTCTTTTGAAATCTGAAACAAAAATTTGACTTATGAGTGTCATAGACAGAAAAAAAGACATCGCCATTTTTTTATATTTCATTGCTTGATTTAGGACGATCTTAGGCGGAAATGGTTATATTTTTATTAATATTCAGCGGTTGGGGCGAGACATCGTCTGCTCGTCACTGACTTTCACAGATATACAGCGAGGTTTCTCCTTAGCTTCCATCAGGTCAGAGATAGATGTTGCATTGGTATCAGTGCCATGTGGCTTTTTACGGGGTACATTCCGAACAAGATGATTAGCGGACTAACAGATCTGCGTATCAGGTATGGCCGACCACATGAAAGCTTGCCGTATAATCCCCTAACAGACACTGGAAAGGTTCCCCGCGGGGGTTTACGCGGCAGGCAGTCAAGTGGATCGGCCATATTTGATCCTCGGATCTGTTAGTCCGCGGATCAACTTTGGTCGTGAATGCATCCAAAGTCTGCATGGCGAGTCATTTAGTCGACATCGTCACGATAATAAATCAAGATTAAAAACCAATTTACGTACTTGACTTACTCAAACACATGAAATTATGTGCTTAGTTCATGGGTAAGTGCATTTCAAACATACATTAATGGGGTCAGATATCTTGACGAGTGTTACAAATCTAATTTTTTATTTTAGAGAAATGAAGGAGAAGTTTTAATGAGACTCTGGATTTTATTGTATTATATATATATATATATATATATATTTTTTTTTTTTTTTTTGTCACTGTTTCTTGCTATATTAATTCTCAATAACCATTTTAGATTTAAAAGAAGAAATTTTCTGTCAAAGTTGGGGGATCTGGCAATAATCTGATTGCGTTCAATGAGACTTTCCGTAGAGCTAGTGCGCATTTGTTAGATCGACGTAATTAACTCCCTGTGAACGGTCCCTCTGACTCAATTTAAATGTACCAGTAAACGCATCTAAATGGCGTGACACTTCTTTTCATATTTTAAGTCAGCACCTGTACTTGTATCGAGGGATATACAGGAGAGTCGCTGTCCGCCCACTACTTCTCTTCAACACGGATTTCCGCCTTCAAAAATATTCATGTACACCTGGGGATAGCAGCCGTTCTTAACCACTGGAGAGTAATATCAGAGGCGATAATAATTATCTAGAGTTTAGGAAACATCACTTCATCACTTTACACACAGGATAACTGTCCAGAGGATAAAAATTCCATACAATGGATAGTGTTATCCAGAAGGGGAGGGCTGTCCAGTGTTCACTATCTAGGTCAAGATATTAAACTGGGCCCAGGTCTTCTGAGCTATTTACATGTAACAATATCTGAAATACCTTTCATGCTATTTGAAGTCATTTGAAGGTATTTAATCTAAGACAGTAATATAATGTAGATCAAATTATTTCGGTCGTGCCTCTCCGGTGGAATGGAAAATCGGTTTTCATAGTAGAATTTTCTGTTCACGTTCTCTCTCTCTCTCTCTCTCTCTCTCTCNACTTCTCTTCAACACGGATTTCCGCCTTCAAAAATATTCATGTACACCTGGGGATAGCAGCCGTTCTTAACCACTGGAGAGTAATATCAGAGGCGATAATAATTATCTAGAGTTTAGGAAACATCACTTCATCACTTTACACACAGGATAACTGTCCAGAGGATAAAAATTCCATACAATGGATAGTGTTATCCAGAAGGGGAGGGCTGTCCACTGTTCACTATCTAGGTCAAGATATTAAACTGGGCCCAGGTCTTCTGAGCTATTTACATGTAACAATATCTGAAATACCTTTCATGCTATTTGAAGTCATTTGAAGGTATTTAATCTAAGACAGTAATATAATGTAGATCAAATTATTTCGGTCGTGCCTGTCCGGTGGAATGGAAAATCGGTTTTCATAGTAGAATTTTCTGTTCACGCATTTTCTGTTCTCTCTCTCTCTCTCTCTCTCTCTCTCTCAAACGAACAGGCAAATGAACATTACGCATGCGAATATATGCAAACACGCGAACACTCGTGGGAACTTTCATATGCATGTACCGAACATCCAATACACTTACAATAAGAAACATACGCAACTAATGGTTGTTCGTAACAAACCTTGTATTTTCCCCCCAAGGTCCCGCCTATTCCTCGACGCTGAATATTGGAATTCTACCAAACCGGATCCACTGTACTTTGGCTGCTGCTCCGAGTCAAATATCTGGATTGCTTGCAATACAAATTTATATACGATGGGATTTGGAGTTTTACTCATATCCTGGTTGCGGTTATAATTAGCAAGAGCGTCAAATGACAGTTAATAATGTAAACGGATGTGCGAAGCCCATGATGTGGTTTTCTGACCATTAGTGGCTCGCTTTCGTTAACGGAAGAATAACAAGTGATAAATACAGGAAAAGAGGAAGCAGAACAACAAGACCTGGTTTTTACTACAGAACTCTAACCCAGAAACTGGTTTAAACTATTCGACCAAAGATTGGCTCTCTTCCGGCTCAAGATACGCCCATAGCAGTCCATTTAGATTAAATACATGTACAGTTATTTTTGGTCTGAGTATGGAAGTATATCTACACATACACTTCCATGGTCTGTTCGTGAGATACTGTAAAAGCCATGTTTACGATATTTGCTCTAAGCTAGGACGCATTGAACATAGCGTCCAAGTTTTACGTACCTTGCAGATGCACGGTGTGGTTTAGCTTGACTTTTGGTGAATTCCGATGCAGAATTCGACCACTGACCATTAAGCTTCAACGGGTGCTCTTGATCCTAGAAGTTACTAATTATGCATACCGGTATTACAAAAGTTTAGTGACCATCCTTTCTGTTTCGCGCTATTTATGTAATGTTTGCATTCAGATCAAAAGCTCCGATCCAAATTCACGAAATAACTTATAGGCCTATTAATAAGTGAAATGTTGGTTTAACCGAAGTATTGCTTTTTAAGTCACAACAGAAAGTTTTTTTTTGAAATAATTTATAAATTTATAACTTATCATTTGCCCAACGTTAATCTGATGATATAGTCTGATGAGTCAAACAATGGTTTTGAAATTAAAAAAAAGTTTAATACGTGTAAATATGACAAAAGTACAAAGGGGCCACTCTTTTACAGGTGGACAGTAAAGAGAAGTAGACGTTAGTCCAGTTAATGTCGGATACAGCACATATTGGTACTTTCGAAAACGCAAGGGCAGATGCACCAACGAAATGTTGTTCTTTTTCGTGCAGCGTGCAAAGATGATATATTATGTTGTGAAATGAGTTTCTGGCTGGTGCAGGAGTGACGTCACTGTTGACGTCACCGGAAGGTATTTTTAAGACGTTACTCATTGGCATATTCGTGACAAGACTTATTACAAGGTAAAAATCTCAGCCATGGGGATAGGGTATAAAGTTATAAATTATTCATTATAATAAATGGAAGGGGGCGAAACATTATCGCGACACCTGTACATGTATAACATATCAGGTATATTTTCTTCCTCTTTTTTGTTTGACGTATTTCATTTATCCAGCTCACTGCAATTTGCATACCGTAATACCCCATCTCAGCCTGCTTTTTATTAATTTCAAATTAAAATATTTAGTCTGTCTGTCTGTCTGTCTGTCAGTCTGTTTGTCTGTCTGTCTGTTAACAACATTACCGAAAAAGGTGCGGATACATTTAGATGGTTTTCTCAGAAATTGTCGGGTGCGGACTAAGTAATAAACGATCAGATTTTAGGCGGTGTTAGAGTGATTAGATAAAATCTGTCAATTATTCAATAAAGTCTGTCGAGATGGCGTCAATTCTATGCTCAAATTCCGCCAACATAGCATGGCACAATCAACGAAATTCATTCAATTATCACAAAAAAGATCCCTAACCCGCTGCAGAGCATGGGTTGTGTATCTCGTCGTCTTCATCAGCGTCTTGTAATATTAAGAATATATCCGAGTCTTTTTGATAAATTTAGGTAGACGGCGAGCGACACACGTTGATTCAACTAAATCTTGAAGCGTTCACTGGGGTATTGTTTGGAAAAAAATTCTTTATCTTCCCCGACAGATGACCATTATGCTAAAAAAATTAAAATAAATAAATAAATAAATAAATAAATAAATAAATAAATAAATAAATAAAAGCCCAGAGGCCATGGCAGTTAAAGGTTTAAAATACACTGGGATTGAACAAAAGTAACAATAATGGTTTTTGGCCGTTTATTTGAAAATTCTTTGGTCTCCTTATAGCAACATACTATTGAAATCGCGGCAACTACTTTTACCTAATTTAAAATTAAAAAAGCCAACTGCAAAATGGATTTATAATTTTTTAATGTAATGTACATTTTCATTGACAAATATACAACGTATACTGTATTTTACATTTTATTTATCGCAAAAGTTACAAAAATCATTCAGAATGAGTTTTGTCGGTCGCTAAGTGTGGCGGCCTAGTACAACACATAATTTGAAGCAAAAACTTGCAAATTTGAACAATCTGTATCAAATGCCTAAACGTCACCGCATGATGAACTTGACATGTTTGTAATATGTAAGCTCTTTGTATACAAATACGTAGGTCTTATTCTAAAAGATATTTGACATCTATCGAATTATTTTCGACCCCAAGAAAAACTTGGGAACGTTGGAAGCCTTATATTTTTGAACATGTCTCTTATGCGCTGCAGTAGCTCTTCGGATATTGTTGGACTTGGTGGCGTAGTGGTTGTAGTTGTAGTAGTAGTTTCCGCAGGACAGGTGATCGTAACGACTCTGTAAGGAGCAAGATCAACGCCGTCGTACGAGTCGGCATTGGGAAGAACATTCACGGCGATTTCCTTAAGGACGTCTTCAGTGGTGCATTCCCCGCCACCACAACCCGTTGGATACTTAGTGACCAACTTTCCAACAATTGCGCTAACAGATTGGTCAAAATCAACTCCAGATGAAATGTAGTCGGTGACGTCGGGGTCTATCGTCTTAACCTGGTTACTGGTCATCCACGTATCTAGCTCCGCTTCGCTTGTTATGCTTCCGCTGCGGATGCATTTCAGTGGATACCCAGTATACTCGTCTCTATCAGGGAACGCCAGGGCAATGAGGCGGAGTAGGTCGTATTTGGAGTCGAATGGTTTGGAAAGCGTGACCGCGTTTGCCATCATCTGGTCAATGGACTCGTCGCTTTGGACCCAGATCATGACTTGTGCCACCATCTCGGCCACTCGGTATAGCTGGACCATTTGGTACTTGGATTCCGTGAGGTTACTCAGGAAGTAGGCCTGGGCGTGCAAAATGGTCTCGTTGGTGATGGAAGCGTTCGGCCAAGCGGCGATGTAGTTCTTTATTGGGTTCAACTCGGCAGCGTCTCTTAAGAAAATGCAGAGGGAATCTTGGCAGTCCGGGTCGGCGGCGATTCCGGTGGAGTCCTCGCTCACATCAAACATGCTGACGATATCATAGAAGTTATTTTTCACTGTATCAAAGTAATTCTCTTCGTCGGTTATCAGGACTTCCAATTCGGCCATCTTTTCATCGATCTCGTCGGAGGCTTTGTTGACCCGCCTTTCAATTTCTTCGACTTGTTCGTCCACTGTAATGCTGCTTTCTGCGGCAATGTATATGCACAGCCCGACGTTAAGCAAAGAACCGATGTTGGCCATATTAACAAAGGTACTGACTTTGATCTGAAAGAAAAACATCCTCATTTTAGTATGATTTAAAGAAAGTTTTGACTTTTTAAACTTTTGAAATAGAAAAATTGATTAAAATGTATCCACATTTTTGGCATATATATCATAACTGAAAAAAATGTATGTCAAATATTTGATTAAAAAACCTGTGCGTATTAACAATAACAACATTTACTGGTTCTAGATAATTAATAATAATATGACCTTCCAAGAAATTACAATAATGATATATGCCACTATATTCTAAAGACCGACGGGGGAGCAACCATTGGTTGTTAACCACGTGATTTAAAGCTTGAGTTTGTATCACTCATCTGCATTTAAACACGAAATGGTATCAAAGAGAGTCGCCATTTTCTATCTTTTCACTCCGTGGGTGGGTGTGGATGGGTGGATGGGGGGGGCACACTGATCAGGGAATTAAGTAATTATTTAAAATTGTATTCATACGCGTAGGTGTGATACGGAAGTAGACTACGTCAGGCAGTTTTTTGTTATTATGCAATGGAGGGGCCTACTTCTTGCACTGTCATTGATCATGAACACGAAAGATTCCTTATTCAAAACCTTTGGGGCAATAGGAAGCTCTGATGTATATCTTTAAACTGCCGATACACTCATTCCTAGTAAGGTTAGCGAGAGCAATTACCTTCCTTCCTTGGAAATCAAACAGTTGTTTGTTCGCAATGGACGCCCAGCCAGACTTAATTTTCTCCCAGCTAAACGATTTTACACTTTTGGCGGGTGCATCGAAGTCGAAATTCTTCAAGCCGTCAACTTCAAGGTTTGCTTGCTTGACTTTATTCATGTATTCGTTGAAATCGTCACCTACCAGACCTTTGGACTGCGAGATAAAGGCGCCTGCATCAGAAAGCAAACTGTTAATGCCAATGAGAGAGAGAGAGAGAGAGAGAGAGAGAGACTGACTTTGTTAGGCCCGATGTAAAATATGATGTTTCGGTCAAATATTTTCGCGAGCTGTCCCATAAAGAAGTGAACAGTTAACGTCCAAGGGATTTTAAAAATTAAAGCAGAGGGCACGTTTCTTCAAATCTTGACGTTGTGGATTAGTTTTTCAGAACGACCAAATGTGATCCATTTATGAGCAAAATAAGCACCAAAAGAACCTTATTAATGGGATTCAGACCAAAAAATTTACAATAGACAGAGATTGCTTCTCAGAACAAATTCAAAGAAAAATTATGAAAACTGTCTCAGACGGATACAAATAAATAAACAAAGAAAAAAGAGAAAAATGCCATCTGTTTTTGAATGTGATAACATAACTCACCAAGTTTCCCTTTTTTCTCCAGATCTGCCAGTAGGTCTGGGCTAGCCGCTTTCAGCTTGTTGTACGCGTCCACAGCCGCTATATCACTTGGGTCGAAAATGCTTAATGTTTGACTCATCCATTTTGGCATGGTTGTGTCCGCAAACTCGGCGCTAAACATCACCTTCGGGTCTTTGGTTTTAGCGGTTTCGACAAACTCGTCAAACTGCTGTGTGGTCAGCCCATCGGTTGATCTCAGAAAAGCCGGGAGATGGCCCGACGACTTCAATTTCTGCAGGTAGTCAGGTTCCAGCCTCATCAAACTGGCTACTTGTTTAGCCCGATTGTAGTCAACGGATTCCAAAAAGGACTTCGTAGCCGCACTCTGGCCCGCTGGCATCATGAACTTCCAAAATGACCCAACCTTACCAGTTTCGCTGAGCTTGGCGTAGACTTTCAGTTTTCCTAGATTGCCTGGCTCCTGTTGGACGATGAACATTTTCCCATTTTTATCATACGCGAGTTGATACGAGCCTCTTGCCCCGACTAATTCTACGACTTGGTAATTCTGAGACTGGCTAAGCGCCCATGTTCTTGCCGTAGTCGTGATCAAACCTGTGTGCATAGCCAGGATGGGAATCAAGGTCATCATTGCAAGCATAGCAAAATCTTTCTTATAATAATCGGCGATTTCCGATTCCAGTTCCTCTGTCGTGGCCCTCATGCCGTTTATGAACTCTGTGAGGTTTGCCCTGAATCGTATCTGCTGCTCAACTACTTCGTCATTATTATCGGGAACGTATACCGTCTCATTCTCCTCGACGACGCTGATGGTTCGCAGAATCTCCATGAGCCGAATGTTCGAGCTTGCGATGACTTCGAGCTCCTTGCTGATCTTGCTGATGTAATCAATGGCTTCGTCGTTGGTATAGTTTAGCACGGACCAGTAGACCTCGCGCTCTAATGTCGCGTTGACCTTGGCGGTGATCTGAGCTCTCTTGGCATCTAGCTCATCTAGCCTACGATAGATAAGTGTAAATTGTGAAAAAAAAAACGAATATTCAGGAGATTTTTAAATGCAAGTTAATGTTCGTGAGATGTTCGCGCTATTGCTATTTCTAGAGAAAAATATTTGCACCATTTCACGAATCAATGCATGGTCCTGCACTCTACTTCCGTACCGTCTAATTAAAGGGACGAGAATGAAAAATGAATGCTGGTTACATGTAGCTCAGAAGCTAAACCCGTGGTCTGCCAGCGGGTCGTGGTAGAACGTGAAAATCCTCACTTACTTTTTACAGTTCCCTGGGGTGAGACTTCCACAGTCCAGCTGCTGCGCCAACAGCATACCGGCACACGCGATATCGTCCCAAAAATTGGAGAGCACAAATTTAAAAACTCCGCCAATTCCTGAAATGTTGTAACACATGAAGTAACAAGTAGTTATGCATGGCCTCTTTAGCAATTTGACATAAGAATATTATGTACTATCTATAATAGATCCACGAAAGTTTACATTAATTAATTTCTATATGAGAGAGAGAGAG